TCCTTTTAATCTTATCTTTAAATTAAAATGGTCAAGGTTTGCATTTTCTGTAAACCACTTCCCTATAATCACCATGCTTCCATCACTGTGCATTTGATACCATTGGTGTCATGGAGGAAGAGGTGCATGTTTTGATGCCTCTGCAGGAAAAAACAATATTGCCTCATCATTCTATCGTAATGAACCGTCTTTTTATTCATTGAGAAAGTTCCTCATTGGGAATTACTGTTTTCAAAATAATTTCTCAAACTTTTGTTACTTACTGGGGAGGGCGTGGGCTGGGAAGAGAATTTTAAATACATATAATTTATGTAACTCTTTGTTGGTGTCTGAACTGAATTACTGCATTCAGGTACAGAATGTGGAGAGGTGGGATTTAAGAATCTGAGTTTAAAATATGTGTAGGTTGAGCAAATCCATATACTAGACAAAGTTGGAAAAGAGGAAACCATCAAATGGATTGAATGCCAGTCAAAAACAGTCATAAGTAGATCTGCTTCATAACACAGAATTTGTGAGAATTATTTGTAAAACAAGGAAGAGGCTGCAGTGAGAAAGCCAAGCTTGTGGAAAGTACAGCTTGCTCGTGTTAATTTGTGATCGTCTGAGTGATTGCACAGTGGCAAGGATTCAGAGGTTTCATTCAAATATTCTTCCCATCTCAGCATTCTGGTTGCATTTTTGTTTCAAATACATTGTCTTAAAAGCAAAGTAAATCTTTTAACAATTAAAGCTTAGAATCTTAAAGGGGATGTGAGAAAAGCTGATATAGACAAGAAAGCAACTATGACATCCAGTCTCATGATAAACATGGGTAGGGACAATCAAGAACATTAATTGTATCCCAGTATGTTCCAGCATGCATAGAGAAAGCCACATTTTTACACATTTACTGCTGGAAAGTTTCAAGGCAACATCCTTGAGATTGACACTTGTAGTTTCCCTTTAAATCAAAGGCCCACATTTCCCTCATTCTCAATGAATGTATTGTATTATGGTTTTTTAAAAAGACTCAAAAATTGTAAAAGGGGTCACCTTTGGTTATCTAGTCCTTGTTTAATTGGGTTAAGGTTTTTTGTATAGAGAAGTTTACATTTTTATGTACATTCTTGTGTAAAAAATGTAATATGTGTATAAAACACTGTATGTATTATCTGTATATAGTGTGAGAAAATGATTTTTTCCCTTTCTTTTGGATGTATTAATAAATCTTGCTGTGAAGAAGCTTTGGTTTATTTAATTAGGATAACATCATCTGAAGGTACATTGTTTACATTGCAACACAGGGTGTATGCGTATTGTGCACACAAAACAGCCTACATAAATGATAATATTGTCTAGAACTATTTATCTAAGCTTCCACATAATTTTGAGAGCATAAAATTTTTGTCCCTTTCAAAAGCCAGATTACTAGCTGTCAGAAGAAGACCTTAATAACAAATAGGTAAATTTTATGTACTTAAACAAGCATTTCATAATGTAAGATTATGTAATTATGACAGCTATTAAGAGATTACTCAAAGCAAGAGGCATATGTAATAAACTATAATAAAAATAATATATTTTTACCTAGATAAATAAGCCTATATGAACAAATAATAGAAATATTTATATATTCTATTGTTGATTCCTATTTCAGAAGTTGGGGATGGAGGTAAGAAGCTGTGGGTAAGATGGGCAATATTTAAATTTGATGCATAAAAATAAACAAGAGGCCAAATTCTCTTTCTATATGATTTAGAAATAAAAGCCAACAACAGTACTGATTTTTATATATCAAAGCATGCTGTAGTTTCATTTCTATCATATCTTACTAACTTTTAGTTTAGTACAGAGGTGGTATTCAGCAGGTTCTGACCAGTTCTGGAGAACCAGTAGTGGAAATTTTGAGTAGTTTGGAGAACCAGCAAATACCACCTCTGATTGGAGATTTCACAGTATCCTATTTCACGTGGCCCACCAAGCCACGTCCACAGAACCGGTAGTAAAAAAAATTGAATCCCACCATTGGTTTAGCAGATTCATATTTTTACATGTTCCTGGTCCAAGTGCCAAACTGAACTTCTAAACTGGTCCTTCCCAAACTAAATTCTGCCTAGATCTTAAGGGAGAGGTAACTGCATTTCCATAAAAGTGGAATGAACTTTGCACTTTTGTGGAATTTAATTTGGAAATATTTATATGGATGCAGGAGACCTTTTTATTCCAGATGGGTTCTTTCAAACAGTTCAGACATGGAGTTAACTGAAATGTTTCCACTGCCCTTTTTATTACCTCCTTCATCACCTAAGACCATAGGAAAAGGGATCACTTAGAATATACTTTTTAGAGAGTTTAGCAACAATTTAATTTTTATATATTATCAACTTTATTTTGCAAGAAGAGCAGCTATTTCTAAATTTATTTTATGACCAAATAGATATGCTGTGAGCATTGGACTTTTCCCCTTCAACTGAAAAGAATGAACTTCTGAAAACTAGGTGTTTCAAAAGGAATCCTTTATTGAAAGGGGTTTTATCTCAAAATTAGGCAAAGCAGAATCTAAAATACCCCCAGGCATACAGTCATAGATAAAGGAAGTTAAAACCCCTCCCCTCATTCAGATGTGGATTTAGTCAAAGAACCAACAAGTTAATTCCCCCCCCCCTTCTCTAGGAACGTACCTTGCAGAGTTCCCAGGAGTTTCTTCCAGGGCTGGAATTTTTGTGGTCCCTTCTCATCCTGTTTCTCTTCTAGAGGTGACAAGTTTCTGGACATCTGGCTCCACTCCTCCGGATGTTTATTGTGCAAGTTCTACGGAATCAATATAGGATTTAATATATTCAGATTACTTCAAAAAGGATTACTTGTACCAACTCCCCCACCTTCTTCCATTGAAGAATGGCAGATACACGGATCTGACATATGCTGTAACATCAGATGAGCCACCATCTTCTAAAACTGAAGAATTTACCTGCCTGACTTTAACTTTTTTATATTACTTTTATATTAACTTTTTATACTACTGAGCTATGGTGGCTCAGTGGCTAGAAATGCAGAACTATAGGTTAACTCTGCCAACTGCCAGTTCAGTCCTGACTGGCTCAAGGTTGATTTAGCCTTCCTTCCTTCCAAGGTTGGTAAAATGAGAATCCAGATTGTTGGGGGCAATGTGTTTACTCTGTAAATCGCTTAGAGAGTGCTATGAAGCACTATGAACTGATATATGTCTATCGCTATTATGATTACCAGGATAAGAAACGAAGTGAAACTCCCTTGAGTCAAGCTGGACTCCTGGGGGTGTCACACCAACCGAGAACAGTGTGAAGATCCAAGGCAGAAGATAGGATAGGGAAATGCTCCATCCAGCTATGAGAAAGGGAGGATTATGAGAAGTGAAAATAACTATGGATAAAATATAGAAAGCAATGCTTTTCCTTCTTTTTAACCAAATCCTGACCACTTCTAGAGTGTGATCACTAAAGGGAAACTTGTTTTATTTTATCAAATCTCTACACTGCCCATCTTGTCTAAGTGAGCTGAAAAGGTTTCCTAAAAGCTTATTTATGCAAAATAATGGCTTCAGGTTGTTCATTTGCTGTAGGTTTGAGACTTGTTGAAAGACTAGCTCATTAATTTTCTGTGATGTGAAAAGAAATTAATCTTTACCATTTCATTTAGAACTTTAAAAACCTTATCCATAACAAGACTTAAATGGAAGTTGCATCTTTAGCCTGATTGTCAACATCTCACTCAGACAGCATAGCCTGGCTGTGATCAATCCACAGCAAGGCTTCATATGGTTGGTTAGTAGCCCGGTCTAAAAGCAAACGGATCCAAAAAGAGGTCTTTGCTTATACCAGCCATCCGGAGAACCTCCTTTTGAAAAATGTAATGATAGCTAAATTGACCTCTTTATTCTGTATATTTTCTTGCAATCTTCTCATCATTTTGTCAATCTCACCTCATCTTAGCAGAAATAAGGAACCTTCAGCTGCATTTCCAATATATCTCTTATCTTGAAAGCTTTCAGACCAAGCTTCTCAGCCATCCCAACCTGGTCAGTTAGGAAAGAAAGACTGCTGGCCCATGATTAGCCAAAAGTATACTTTACTAAAGCCAAGGTGGTTACAGAAGAGGTGAAACTGGATCTGAGGTTTTTGCATGCAAAAGATACAATTAACTTTCCCTTGCTCCCAGCCAGCCAGACATTGACATTATCAGTCAATGTCCAATCAGGTGTTAACAAATTGTTTGGAAATGTTTTTTTGTTTTGTTTACCAGCTCCGCATTCTTTTGGTGTGACCTTAAGACTGCTGGGGTTTCCCACAGAACTATACTGCTTGGTTTTGTTTTCTCTAAGTTCTCTCCCTGTCACCCTATCCCCCACTGCTCCCTCCCCCCATTACTGATGTCAGGCTGACAGCTAGCAATGCTTAGCCTAGCAGAATGGCAGCCATGACAGAGCTTGCTATATACAATAAACTGATTTTGGATGATCATAAATGTTCATGGAATGACATTAATGCTGCCTGTGAACAGTGAGATTCTGGATTCAGATCTATATTCTCCTGAGGCTAGATAGGTACACTTTATGCAAGCATGCAATGTACTGATGCAACTTCAGTAGCTTTGTGATATGAATTAGGTGGGTTATGGGATGTGGCAAGATACTGCATTCTCTGCAAAATGGGAGAGGGCGGAGAAAACAGTCCTGCAATAAGGAATTTCTAATGAAATCACACTGTAGCAGAGTTGGCAGCATGAGAAGGAAAATGGTACTTTCAGCTGTCATCTCTTGAATAGAGATGCTAATGCTGTTTCTGTTATTTAAGCTCTTAGCCTGTAATCATCCCATTTCTTGCCAGACAGGAAGTATCTCCAGTTTTATTAATATTATTGCTGAATTTGTAGTTTTTGAAAAGATGCTGAATTGACATCCTTGGGCTTTGAGTCGCATTTATTAAATAAATAGGAGAGATTTATCATCTTCAATACACAAGACTGCCAATAAGCAGCAACCATATTCTTGCTGGAGAAATTATTTTTATTTTGCACCAAAATCCAAATTCTGTGAAAATAAGAAATAGTAAAGTAAATTTATTGTATACAAATACATTATAATTCTGGACTTTGTTCTGAAGCAATACAGGAAGCTTGGAAAAATAATGTAATATTTCAGCCTGATTTCCTGACAGGTTTGAATTTGTAAAAAAATACTTGTTTTAATTATAATTAACACTGTCGGACTGTAACGATGAGTCATAAATGGTCTCCCACTTTGGAATTATTTAATGATGACAAAGAAGGAGCCAAATTAAAACCACACATAAATAAAATATTTCATCCAAAGAAACTGAAACATATGAAACTGTGTTGAAACAACAACCGTGCAATGGCTGTTACCAGAGTAGGACCAAAACAGAGTCCAGCATCTTTGCCCAAGGACCTCACATTTTAAATTGCAGTACATTCAAGTTATTGACACAAGCAATGTGTTTGCCAGTAGCTGGGAGCTTTTCTTTACAGCTTAGCAACTTCCCTTCTTTCCAGCAGTGTTCCTGCTGCCATGGCTAGCTGACACCTCTTTGTCCCCTGAAACAATGCAGGGCTGCCACCACTTCAGTCTCAACAACTTTGAAAAGATAAAATCCTGGGTTTATCCAGATTTATCCTGAGGGTTTTTATCAGAATATATATTTTTAAATCTATTATTACTCCTGTGTTTCCCCACTGCTTTCTTTCACACATTTTCCTAATGTTTAGGCAGTTTTCCACCATGTGCTTTCTTTAATAACTCACCACAAACTCACAGATACACCAGAGAATCAAGGATGATGCTGTATCATGGATATAGGCTCTTCAGACAGATGCCTCAGGATGATCATTCAAGTCAGACTCTATAAGCTTTAATTTCATTACTTTCTACCTTCTGTAGTTTTAAAAATGTAAGTGTGTGTCTGTATGACAATTTTAAATAGTGTTAAATGCATTAGGTTAGGACAGATTTTTGTCCATTAACTGAGGAGAGGTAAAGATGTGTTTGAAATGAAGCGCACATGGGGATTTTCGTCTTTTCGATTTTTGTTGATAGAAATACAAAAAAAATCAAGAGATTTATACAACAACCTATCTTGCACATAATCCTGGATAGCCAAAAAATCAATAAACATATTAAAACACAAAAAATAATAAATCCCCCCCCCAAAGTTAAAGAATGTCCTGTTCCATTCAAGGAATTATTGTAGAAATTAATCAAGCACAGGCTAGATATTTCTTTTTCTTTACTAAATCTTTATTTTCTGCAATCACCCCATTTCTAATTAATAGTTAAACACTGCATTTAACTGGCTGAAGATCTTTTAGTGATGATCAATACATTTAAAAGTGAAACATGCCAGCAACATAAAAGTACCAGTGAAATGGCAATTATTCCAGGGAATCATGCATGATAGGGTGGCAATGAGAAGTCATAAATCTGACTGAGATTTCATGAATGGTTCGTTTGCTTTTTAGGATGTCTGTGATGTATGATGTGATAGCCTCAGTGAGCTGTGCATGTCTGCTGGCTTCTTTTTCCATTTTGTAAATTCACATGTTTCTCTTTTGAGACAAATGAACTCCAGCCTCCTTAGTTCATGTTTGCATGCCAGTGCTGTTGGTGTGTTAATAAAGGGTCCTGCTAGTTCAGCAGAGTGCTATGAATCAGAAGCATCACTTGACTTAAAATAGCAAGAGGGCTGCTTTCCTTCTAAACTGGTCAATGAAAGACAATTAGATTGGAAAAGTAAAAGGGCCTCCTTCTGGAAATCACTGAAGAACAGTAGTCGAGGCAAGACCACTATTTTTCATGTGTGTGGCACTGCTAACCACCAAAAGCACGACAGTCACCTGTAAGTGTTGAGAGACAAACTGGAAGATAAAGGTATAGGTGGTCTGGTCAAGCCAAAGTACAATCACTGACAGCCTGATTAGATGCAAGGCTCAATCAGCTGAAAGCTATTGACTTTCCAGTAAACTGAGAGGGAGGCACTGGGGTGAGTTATGATCTTGTTCACTTAGAAAGCTTGTCCTTGTTACCATTTTTCTTCAAGAGCTATATTAGATCTACTTTATAAAAAACATTTATGTGATCATATTTGCTTATTTCACCACAATTTGATCAATGAATAATGCTTGGCTACTTACACATCAAATAAAGCCATAAGCCATGGTTTAGAAACCTTTAAGGCTGGTCTCACCCAGCACACAAGGTATAATGTGACTTATTTGGTTTTGGCCTAGCATCTCGGTTACTTCAGAAGAATTGTTTATAGGCTTGTTTACATTCCAAACTGGTTTTAACAATAACTTCTCATTTGTGAATCTTGATTAGGTTTTCCCTAAACTGAATCCTTTTGTCTCGCATTTCTACTCCCACAATTCCCCCCCCCCCAAGTAATGGAATTCATCCTGACCCATCTCAGATCATCTTCGTGACATCTCCATTGATTGGGTGGTTGGGTTGCAAAGACTTGTAGCAGACGAGACTTTGAAAAAAAGCTGGAAGGGGAATGGGGAGAGGAAACACAGAGTTATAGCTTGCTTTTGTGTGGAACAAATGCAAGCAGGACAAGTAGGAACAGTTTTCAGTACTGCAGGGTTTTATTTATTAGTTAACAGGTATACAAGAAGACCAGTTTCACTAACAAAAGTCTTAAACCTAAATATTTCCTACTCATATTAACCTTCTCTACTACCTACCCCTCAGACCTTTCCTTTGAGCTTACTGTCTGGTTTACAGAACCTTTAAGGAAGCTTCTAATGGCTTTGTGTACTAAATCAAGCAATTACATAGTCTCTTCTAATATTCATGACTACTCCCTACCTTAAGTGCTTTTAAAACCACTTCAACAGCTTTAACTGGCTTTCACCTTCAGTCTCAATTTCTACAAAGGTTTTTTTGTTCTGCCAGCTCTCAGCAGATACTTGTTTCTGTCGCTCACCAATTCCTTTCAGACTAGGTTAACTAACTTTAACTCTCTCTCAGATTGTTATTTTGGCCCTGGTTTTGGCAGTGTTATAAGACTGCTTCTCCCTTCCTCCAAGCTATTCTCTTTCTGTCTTCTTATTAGCTTCACCAAATCTCAGCTCCTGGTATTCACTGTCCTATCTAATTGTCCTCCTTGTTTCTGCCTTTTGACAAAAGTGAAATCTCCATATATCAGAGCTTCATGAGGAATCTCCCAACTCTTCCAACAAAAACTTTGTTTCTGTTGGAGTCCTTACTTATCAGTTATTTTTTGAAATTATTCCCTTGATTTAAAAAAAACTTTATTGTTCATTGGGTTGTTAGGATTGTTTTAAAAATTGGTCACATAAGTTGCTGTATGTTTTTATTTTAGGAAAACAAGGAATTGATGCTTCGAGGTTAACTATCTGGCCTTTAGTTTTCAATTTGATTATTTGCTCTGTTGTGGAGCAGCGGAAAAACCTGGGGCAAACTCAGAGCGAATTTCAGCTTTTACTTTATTGAAAAAATAAAGGGTTGCCGCGGCTGCCACACTAACAAGGCAGCCAGCTGGCGGACAACAGCTGATGCCGTTTGACAGCTCCCTTTTATAGCCGGCTGTCAAACGGCATCAGCCAATAGGAACGATCCGTGTTCCCGCTGGAAACACAGACTGGAGTGAAGAGTTCGGCTTAGTCTTTTCCGAACGCCACACTCCTTTCCCCCAGAATGGAGCATGCGTAGTCCTTTAGATAACTCGGGCGCTTGCGCAGGCAGCCAGATCTTGTAAGTCCTGACGAAGCTGCTGCTGGAAGGAACTTCTCTGCTTGCTGGGTAACTTCTGGTACCGACGAAGCTGGCGTCTCGGCTTCAGGCATTTCTGGGTGAGGGACCGATGGCTGTTCAGGTAGGCTTGCGTTCTTTTTTTTTTTTAAACAAATTTTATTAATTTTTAAAAACAATACACAAACAAACAAAACATAGAATATAAGAACACAAGAAATCTTTTCTAAGAGCTGCTTATTGAATTTTAACAAAACAAATAAAACGTCTTATTTAAAAACAGCATAGTTCCAGATTATCACATTTCCATACAAACACAATTTGATATGCATATTTATCTTATATATTCAACTTCATATCTTTTTACAACTTCTCTCTATTTCTCCCTTTTCAATTATATTTCTTTTACCTTAATTTCTATATCTTTTTATTCATTGTATACTTCCATCTGTCTGGTTTACAATTTCATTGTTCTCTTCCAACATTCTTCTAGAGTTTTATTAATTCAAACATAGATAAACAAAACACAAAACATAAATACATAAAACTTCTTTTTGGAAAGCGGCTTAACCCCGGGTTACATCTTTTTGTACAGACATAAATCAAATTCATGCTCACCTTATATACTATTTCATATCTTATTTAACATTCTATATTTTCTATATGTTTTCCCTCCTCTATTCACTCTCTTAATTCTATTTTATTTATTTCATCTCAGTTTAAATCATTATACTTGCATCTTTTGTCCGTTCTTTTTCAATTATCTATTTATCTTTTCTTTCTAATACAATATTTATCCTGTAATCACTGGTTGAAGTATGACACCTTTTTATCTTTCCCCTAAATTTAACACTTAAAATAATACATACTTTCCATACTGATTCTGCTTAGTACATTCTAAATACTACATTTTAGAATAATAAGAAAAAGAAAAAATATGCTTATAATATAGTAAAAACAATGTTCCATAGGAAATTAAACTCTATTGTTAAATCTTATACATTTTATACATTCCCTTTAATGTATTGTTAACTCATATAATATTCCAATTTTCTAACTCTATTTCAAATACTAATATCTACAATACAGTCTTATGTACTTTTGCAGAATCTTTTTTTTAAATTGTATTTTACCCTTTGTCTCTAAAAAAAACAACCCTGTTTTTTAACATCTTGTTTTAAGCCTTTGTGACTTCTCTTCCCTTTTTCCCTTCCTTTCTTGTCGATTCTAGCCTTTTTACCCCCCCCCCATCTCTCAATCTCCGCTCTCTTAGTCTCTCCTCTCTGTTGTATTCCTCTTTTCTGTTGCTTTCTGACATTGTATCAATTTTTCACCTTATTTTCCCCTTTCTTGGTTGCTTTTTTAAGTTCTGAATTCTCCATTTTCTTTCCCCTCTTTCTCTTTTCTTCCTCAACTAAGATTATTTGTCCATTAAGGTTGGCTTCTTCTTCTTCATCCCAGCTTTCTTGTTGTTGTAGTTCTTGATAGGTAGAAATCACCATTTCTAAAAAGTGAAAGATAGATCCAGAAGAGCCCTTGCCTTCTTGTTCCTCTTCTTTTAACTTTTGGAATTCCATTTGCAGTTCTTCAACAGATAATGCCATTATAAAAAAAATATTTTTTTTAAACAGCCCAAATGCTTTTAGTCTTTCAAGGAACAGTTTCCAAAAGTCCCAAAGTCACAAAGCAATCCAAATCAGAACAAACTGTTTCATTTAGCACTTTCTTCTTTTTATATTTTCTCTTCCTGCGGTAGAATTCAATTACACAGTTCCAAAATAATTTTTTAGAAGTCTTATTGCCATTTATTTCTAGTCTTATAAGCTCCAAGCAGTCTCCTCCAGTAAAATCTTAATATAAGTTCTTTACCTCTCTCTTCCCACTTATAGCAAAAAAAATTAGTTTTTAATTCCAATGTTCAAAGATCTTTAATATCCCCTTGGCTTTAATTTTCAAGTTTAGTTACCTTCTGTGCCAAAGCAGGTTTTTCGGATTTCCATCTGCTATTTCCGTAGGGAAGGAGAGTGAGAAAATATAACTTTCCCTTTCCACTTTCTTCCGCCGCTTTTTACAATCTTCTTAGGAAACAATGTATCGTTGAAGAAATTAAATTTCCAGGGTATTTAGAAGTTCCTTATTGTCCCGGTTCAGCCAAAAACTTTCACTTTCTCAGACTTCCTCCTGCACAATCTTGTCCGGCTGCAAGCTTCTTTGTGGCAGCCATTGCTGACCGCCGCTCCACCACCTTTGGAAAAGGGAGTTGTGCCAGCTGAGGAGGGGGGTTGCGATACCCCCAGACCCCTACCTGGATCTCCCCTGTCTTCAGTTACCTCTACGGGGTAACCACAGCCTCCAAATCCAGCTGGATCGGGGGCACTCCAGCAGCGAGCGCAGCAGGAACTGCGCACGATCGCGGATACCTGCCGCTGCCAAAGCCTTACAAACCAGAAGGGCCAGGTAGGCTTGCGTTCTTGTCGGATCCGAGGGAAGTTTCTTTGGGCGCCGGCGGTTTCTCTGTTGCAGGAACGTCTTGAGGGCCATCTGCAAACGCACTCCAATGCCTTCTAAGCTGATCGATATGGCGGCACCAGATGCACCCATCTTGCAGTAGGACCCTGTAAGACTTAGGACCAGTTACCGCCACAATTTGCCAAGGCATCCACAAAGGGTGTCCCGCATAGTTCCGGGCATAGACCTGGTCATTCTCAGCGAACTCCCTTGCTTGGCTTTTTGACCCTAGGGGTGTGACTGGGGCATAATGCAGATGGAGTCTGTCTAGGGTGGTTCTCAGATGTCTACCCATGAGAAGTTCAGCTGGAGACTTATTAGTGGTGGCACAGGGGGTTGTGTGCTGGGTCAGGAGGTACTTAGCGAGCCTAGAGTGCCAATCTATAAGCCCAAACCTTTCCAGGGCCTCCTTAACTGATCTGACTGCCCTTTCAGCCAGGCCATTCCTGGCAGGATGAAAAGGAGCTGTAAGTGTGTGCCTTATTCCTAGGTTGGCTAGGAAGACCTCAAACTCACAGGAAGTGAACTGGGGGCCGTTATCAGACACGATGGTGTCAGGGAGGGCCATGGGTAGCGAATATCCTTGATAGAGCCTTAGTGACAGCTTCTGAAGTTGTGGTGGTCATCAAGGTCAGCTCTACCCATTTAGAAAAAGAATCAACCATCACCAGGAATGTACGCCCATGAACGCCGCCAGCCAGATCAATATGCACCCGGGACCAAGGAGCCACAGAATCTTCCCACCTGCCTGGAGTGGATGTGGGTGGAGCAGGTCTGGTAGCTTGGCATGGCTGACAAGCATTCACCCAACTTGGAGCATCCATGCCTGGCCACCATACATAACTGGGCCAGGGCCTTCATCCTGACAATGCCAGGATGGCCCTCATGCAGGACCTTTAAGACTGAGTCTTGCAACTTGGAAGGGATAACTACCCTCGTTCCCCAAAGTAAACAGCCTTGCAGAGAAGATAGTTCCTGCTGGCAAATTTTGAAAGGCAGGAATTCGGGGGCATAAGGAATTGCTGGCCACCCCCTTCCCACCCAGTCAAGAACTTGGGTGATTACCTTGTCCCTGGAAGAGTGGGCAGCGATATCGAGGGCAGTGATGGGGAGTTTGAGATCGCTGATCTGGAAAACAGCATTAGTTGGTGCAGGATCTTCCACAGGAACAGGCAGGGGGCAGCGACTAAGAGCATCAGCGTGGCATAACTCTTGCCAGGATGATGAATCAGTGTATAGGAATAGGCAGCCAGAAATAAGGTCTACCTGGTCATTCTTGGAGACAAAATCTGAGGGGTTTGTCTCTTGCCAGACAGAAGGCCTAACAGAGGCTTGTGATCCGTGATCAACTCGAAATAGTGTCCATATAGAAACTCATGGAATTTTTTGACAGAAGCAACTACAGCCAAAGCCTCCTTGTCAATTTGGCTGTAGATGCGCTCAGCTGGGGAAAAAGTTCTGGAGAAAAAGGCAATGGGTGCCTCAGAACCGTTAGGCAGTCTATGACTTAAAACAGCACCTGTGCCAAAAGGAGAAGCATCTGCTGCTAAAACTAAAGGTAAATGTTCATTAAATTGTATCAGGACAGCATTGGATGTAAGTAATGATTTGACAGCATGGAAGGCATGGGCTTCCCTAGGTCCCCAGTGCCAGGGGGATTGCTTGTCCAAGAGTCTGTGCAGAGGCTCTGCAACGGAAGCTTTATGAGGCAAAAATGAAGCGTAAAAGTTAAGAAGTCCTAAAAAGGCCTGGAGCTCAGTTTTGTTAGTTGGCGTGGGTGCCTTGTGAATAGCCCTTACTTTGGATTCGATTGGGTGAATACCAGAGGCATCAATTCTGTATCCCAAAAATTCTGCCTGTGGGGTGGCAATAGTGCACTTGTCTTTTTTTAGCTTAAGACCATGCTTCCTGAAACGATCGAGGACTCCTCTGACTCTTTGCAGTAACTGAGGCTTGTCAGGGGCAGATAAAATGTCATCAAAGTACGGAACTACGCCCAGTAATCCTTGAAGAAGTCTTTCCATTAAGGATTGGAAAATTCCTGGGGCTACACTTACGCCAAATTGGAGGCGCCTACATTTGAAAGCGCCCCTGTGCGTTACAATAGTTTGTAGTTCAGCGGCTGTGTCACCAACAGGGAACTGTTGATAGGCCTGGGACATGTCTAATTTAGTGAAAATGGTTCCTGGCTCAAAAGAATGTAGTAGGTGCTGGATAACAGGGACTGGATAGGCGCTGATTTGTAAATATTTGTTCAATGACATCTTGTAATCTGCGCAGATTCTCATGCTCCCGTCTTTCTTCAGGGGTGTCACTATTGGGGTTTCTCATTTTGCGAAGTCCACAGGCTCTAATACACCTTGTTTAATTAATTTGTCAAGCTCCATGTCTAATTCGGGGCGGATTGCAAAAGGAACCCTTCAGGGCTTTAAATGGATTGGTACTGCCTGAGGGTCCAAGTTGAAAGAAATTGGGGTTCCTAAATAACAGCCCAGCCCCTCACTGAACACATCAGCATAGTCATTAAACAAGGTGTCCACTTCAGCATTTGTAATAGAGTGGATTCCACTTATATGGAGGCCAAGGGCAGGGAACCAGTCTAACCCCAACAGGCTAGGGAGGGCACCATCCACTACCACTAAAGGCAAGTGACCTTTAAAATTTTGAAATTGTACAAAAAACTTGCCTTTTCTGATGACTGGGATGGTTCTGCCTTGGTAGTCGCATAGGGTTAACTGGCAGCCATGAAGCTTCTTCTTAGCCATTCTGGGAAGTAGTTGTTTCAAGGTGCTCCATGAGATGATGGACAGTGCTGAGCCTGTGTCAACCTCCATCCTGCAAGGTTTTCCTTCTATAGAAACAAAAACACTAATTTTGTTAGAGCCTTTGTTAGTCAGCTTGGCTTGATAGCAGGTAGAACAGTCTTCAACTTGTTTTTGGAAATGTTGGGTTGGGCAAAAGTCTTTCCTGCTTGACAGATCCTGGCTAAATGACCCTTCCTTTGACATTTTAGACAAATGGCATTCCTGAACTTGCAGGATGCCCTGAGGTGGTTTCCCCCACAGCTTAGGCAAATGGGCTGATGCCGTGGAGGTAGATTGGGGTTTGGCCTGTTTTCCCCTTGACTGGTTTTTTGCTGCCTGAGGAGATTTACATCATTAGCCTTTTCATAGCCTTCTTCTGAGGAGGCTTCATTGTAATTGATGGCTGAGCTGCCCTGGCTAATTGGATTTCCTTGAATTTCTGCTGCTGAAAGTGCTGATAGTTCAGCAGCTTGAGACTCTTCAATTGCTAATTTAAGGGTTAAATCCCTTTTAGCCAATAGACGCCTTTGTAGCCTTAAATCCCTGACTCCACAAACTAGTTGGTCTAATAACATGTCTTCCAGATAGTCTCTAAACCCACAATGCAAGGCAGCTGTTCGTAGGGCAGCCATGTACCCACTAATAGTCTCTCCCTCAGCCTGAATCCGCCTCCTAAAAGCATGACGCCTGGCAATTTGGGATGGCTTAGGGGAATAGTGGCTGGAAAGAATTTCCTGCAATTCTTCCCATGGAACAGTCTTAATTGAACATGGAGCTAATAATGCCATGGCAGTGTCAAACACTGTGGCTCCGCAAAAACTTAAAAAGTAGGACTTTTTCCTATGGTCGGAAATGTCAGCAAGGTCTATGGCATCTAGAAAACAGTCAAATCGGTTTCTGTAGGACTCCCATGTTTCCGCTGTTGGTCTGAAAGGCGGGAATGCAGGTTTTGAAGTCATCTCGACTCAGCGGTGCCGTATCTTTCGAAGAAAGTTGAAATTCGTGCTTGCGAATAGTGACAGTAGCTCTTAAAGTGACATTCAGCTCGGTAGTGACTTCGGCTCTTTTTGTAGTGACTTTGCTCAGCGATTCTTTGCCCAGTTGCCTCTTATAGGAATCCCACCCTCGTCACCAGTGTTGTGGAGCGGCGGAAAAACCTGAGGCAAACTCGGAGCGAACTTCAGCTTTTACTTTATTGAAACAATAAAGGGTTGCCGCAGCTGCCGTGCTAACAAGGCAGCCAGCTGGTGGACAACAGCTGATGCCATTTGACAGCTCCCTTTTATAGCCAGCTGTCAAACGGCATCAGCCAATAGGAACGGTCCGTGTTCCCGCTGGAAACACAGACCGGAGTGAAGACTTTGGCTTAGTCTTTTCCGAACGCCACATGCTCCATGATCAGATAAAGTTAGGCAGAGTGTAGCATTTCATCAGAGAATACTAGTATCCTCCAAAGCAGGGGTCCCCAACCACCAGTCCGCGGACCGGTACCAGTCTGTGGAACAAGTCCTACCGGGCCGCTGGTTTGCTGGGCGCCGCCATCTTGTTTTAATGAAAAAGTGCTTCCGGTGAGCTTTTCCGGGTAGAAAGCTCACCGGAAGCACTTTTTCATCAAAACAAGATGGCGGCACCCAGCTGATGTCGGTACCAGGCCGCGCCATAAAAAAGGTTGGGGATACCGGGCCGCGGCATAAAAAAGGTTGGGGATCACTGCTCCAAAGGACCTAAGACAAACAAGACCACCCCTCTTTCTGAAATAACCCTACTATTCTAGATCATTTAAACAAAGCCCATCTGAAATTAGTTCTGCTTCAAACCAGAGGAAAACACAAACTGGTCCAAATTCACATGCCTGAACTGTGTTTTTCTTGGCAAAGTTATTAAAGGCTGAGAAAGATCTGGGAACTATGTTTTGCTGCTGGCTAGGGGTCAAATCCTGCTCTTCTCAGTTTAGTTTATGTTGCTGGCATTACTGAGAGAAGATGACATGAAATAATATGCAATTATTCCATAAATCGATCTGTTCTAGTTTTTATTAACAGAGAACCATCATGTATATTAATGAAGGTCATCCCTAGATATAAATGCTACCTGTTAAAACAGGGCTGTCAAACTCCTGAACCGTGGACTGGATACATCATGCGCTGGCCACGTCCACTCCTGGTCTAACAAAGAGGGGGGAAGTCCCAATATGTCATGTGACACCACCATAACGACATGAGTTTGACACCCCTGTGTTAAAATAATTTTCAGTTATCTTTCTAACATGGAGAATTAAACAAACCTAACTGGGTATAAACAGAAATATTGTCTTTGAAAAGCTGTCTTTCTTAAGAAAGAAGGCATACATTTTAGAAAAGTGAGTGAGGAAAAGTTTGTATTTTTCCCTTATGTGTGAAAGCTATCTTCCTTAATCATAAATCTATTTCTGGGCATTTGAGGTCTCTCTTTTTTCTTCTTCTCCCACCTCCTTCCCTCTTATGAGTTAGAAAGAAAAACTAGCAGAAGTCTTCTCAGTTTCACTAAGAAAAAAAAAGAAGGAAGAAGTCCAGTTCCACAGATCTAGTGGTGGAGGTCCAGGGGTACACTAGTCCTCTGAGCTTGTCCTAACCATTGATACACCATTGATAAACCATTGATCGCACACGCAGATATGAATCAATGAATGAATGAATGCTTCAATGTGAGACATATTGGTGCCAGAAAAGGAGCCCACATCATGCTTGAGAACTGCATTGCAAAGAACAGCAGGGTTGATACTTTATGTGAATATCTTCCTCCCAGATGCAGGTATCTTGAATGGTTATG